GAGGTTTTGGAGCCAAAATTGACCAATAGGAAAAGAGGAGGGCTTGGAATAAAAGATCTGGAGCTGCAGGAAAAGCTGTTCTTTCTCCCAGGAGACAGAGCCAGAAGGGACTGAGGCTGCTGTAGGGAAGAGACCCTCATCCTGAGGGAAGGGTGAGTAGTCTAGTGCCACTTGGAATAGTGAGCTAGGGACAGTATATTTAGACGCGTTAGGGCATTTGATTTCTTTTCACCCACTTACTGTTATATTTCTGCACCTTGTTTGTTTGACCTCTTATAAAATAAACTATTTTTATTGTTCACTCTGCCCGGTCCTCACGCCTATTATTCTGCCAAAAGGGAGGTTTAAAGGCCTGGGAAGGTGCTCTGGGCCTTCTCAGAGGAGCCTGGAACCAGAGTGGTGGCAGCATCAGGTGACACCCCACCTGAGCCATGACACCAGTATTAATGTATGGCTGTGAGAATTGGACTATAAGGAAGACCGAGCACCAAAGAATAGACTCCTTTGAATTATGGTGCTGGAGAAGACTCTTGAGAGTCCCCTGGACTGCAAGGAGATAAAATCAGTCAATCCTAAAAGAAATCAACCTTGACTGTTCCCTGGAAGGCCAGATACTGAAGCTCAAATACTTTGGCCACCAAATGAGAAGGGAGCACTCACTGGAGAAGACCCTGATGAAAGGGACGGCAGAGGATGAGATGGTTAGACAGTGTCACCGATGCAACGAACATGAAATTGAGCAAACTTCAGAGGACGGCGGAAGACAGGAAGGCCTGGAGTGATCTGGTCCATGGAGTCGCGAAGAGTTGGACTCGACTGTGCGACTGAACAACAACAACAAATTGCCCTTCAGCCTAGCCCAAGTGCCTAGGGTATTTACAATATGAATGTATGTTGTCGTTTCCCACCTTAGGTTAAGAGGATGCACAGGCTACACATGAGGGACCTCCAAAACTGGTTTCTTTGTGTATTAGGGTTGCCAAGTGGCACTTATCTTTCCGGCGGGGGACTCCAGGTTGGCTCCTGGCGCGTGACGTCATGACGCCGGGCACGCTGGGTTCCCCCGGGGCCCGATTCCCCGGTGTCAGGGAATGGGCCTCGGGTGGGGGGATTTCCGCCCCCCGGGGGGATTTGGCAGCCCTATTGTGTATTCAGGCTCAACATATATCCCCAGTGGCACAAAATGTCTATCCCCAGATATATTCTTTGTTCCTTGTGTTGGTGGTTGAGCAAAGCCAAGTAAGTGCAAGCCTGTTTTGCCTCAGTGTCTAGGCCTACTATAAACCAAGCTGTGGGGTATAAATGAAAAGTGTGTTTTATCTGATCGTCGTAGTAACAGTATAACCAAGAGTTGGGGAGCGGCTGTGGCTAAGGGGTGGAGCAGCTGTTGGGCATGCAGAAGGTCCCAGGTTCACCTCAGACTCTGGAGAACTGCTGCCAGTCTGAGTAGACAATACTGACCTTCATGTACCAATAGTCAGATTCTGTATAAGGCAGCCACATGTCATGTCTTCAAGTAAAACTAAAAGTAAAAATAACAGGTCCACATATGTAAACTTTCCACTACCACAGTGACACTGTGTGGTTTATTGTGTGTACTGCACTTTTCTCACACAAATGCAACACAAATGCACGTTTCTTGCACTAAGTAAGCTAGTAACATACATTTCGGTAGCAAATGCACAAAATGAATAACTAATAAACAGCTTACAGCTGTTGCAGCACAAATGTGTCTTTCGAGCCCTGACCTGGATAGCCCAGGCAAGCCCGATCTTGTCAGATCTCGGAAGCTAAGCAGGGCTGACCCTGGCAAGTATTTGGTTGAGAGACCTCGACAGAATACTAGGGTTAGGAGGTGGAGGCAGGCTATCAAGCCACTTCTCTGAGTCCGCCATGCCCCAGTAGGAGTTGCCAACTTGCCAGAGGTTGCCATGACTTCCATGCATGGGCACACACATGCACACACGAAAATGCAGGAATACCCAAAAAAAAAAAAAAAAGTGTCTTTTGGGAAAGCTATTGATCTGAATGTGCTATTTATCAAAAGTGTTTGGTATCATTATTTCATAATCGTGAATAGGAAGTGCTATAATTTGCATCTTGATCCTCAAAACAGCTGTAATGCTACCTGGAATATTTTAAAATGAAAAGCTGGCATCTAAATAGTCTACTTTAAATGAGTGGGAATGGCAGAGAGGAATGGAGCATATGAGTAACCTTCCCCTTCATGCACCAATGTGTCCTAAAGGATTTTCATATCCCCTCAGATGCTACTCCAGCACAGTTGTAAGATTCCAGGCCTTGCATAAGTGTAAAAATTTTATAGTGGCCTGAATACAAAGCTAGGAAGGAGGATGGTGGATAGTACTGGATCTTGCCTCTGGATGTTGGAACACTAGGCTTCCAACGTGATCCAGTTCTCTGTCCTCCATTTTTCCTGTTATTCCTTGTCCATATTTGAAAATGTTAAGTATAGCTTCAGTATGGAATTTGCAAACTGAAGTTACTCTGTTACATGCCCGAGCCTTCCAGTTCTACATGTCACATAACAAGCAGCTATAATTCCTTAGTAAGGGATTTTTGTGCTTCCAAGTTCTTATTAAAGGTATGTTTACTGAAATAATGTTTTTACTTATTTCTGTGCTTCTGTTTTTCAAGTGGTAGTATCTCATCCTTAGATGACCTCCTGTGGGAAGCACACACTTCTCATCTGATGTCATTTCTGGTGCCAGCGATTCTGTGTATTTTGGCAGTATCAAACCACATCTTGCAAGTTCCCTTCACCACTGCAATTTCTCTGCTGCTACTTGTGTGGTAGTAACTTCCTTTAATATTGAGTTTCCATACATTAGCAGAATCATCCTCGCTTTCTCTGAAGCACTGGATTTTGCAGATCACCAGATATAAGAGCTGAAGGAAACCACCTTCTAATTTTTTTTCTATTCTGGATTTTTTTTAGTCTTATTCTCTATTTACTGTATAATCTTGCTTCTTTTTCCTGAAATAGGAATGTAAAGTATTCAAGCACACTGAAGTACTCCCAGTTGCACTTTAGAAAAGTATTTATATTGGGCAAGTAGTTCTCATATTGCTTCCACCTAGTGCAGTTCCCCTGCTTGAAGTAATCCACTTTGCATCAACTAGAGCCTCTGCCTTTTCTGTCACAGCTCCTCCTGATGGAACGGGGTCCCTGAAAAGGTGAGGGGGTGCCATCCTTAGATACATTTGGGAGGCTCTGCAAGCTTTCCTTACTTGCTAGGGCTTTTAATGGGGTGTAGACATAAGGCATTTTTGTAGGGGGTAGGGGTTATTTGGGATTAATTTTGTCTTGTATGTTTTAAATTTTGTAATTGAGCCATCATGAGCCATGCAGAAAGGTAGGGTATAAATAGTCTAATAAAATCAAAGTTGTGTCACAATGGCCCCGGTCACACAAGAGGATTAGGGCCGGGAGAGGGACGGATCGGGGGCGGAGCAAACAGGCACAATCCCACCGCAACATCTGGGAATAGTTGCGTGCCCGTCCCTGATCCGGCCCTTCCGGCAATAATCCGCACCAAAAAAGAACCACCTACCGAGGTGGTTCTTTCCGAACGGCCGCATCAACACCGGCCGTGGGATTGCCGGCGCGTTCTTCTGCCGGCGCATCCCCGGGTCCTGGCCGAACTGCGCATGCTCAGACGTGCAGTTCGGCAGCCTCCCGTGGCTTCCTCCCCGGTCTCCCCGGCATCTGATCGTGCCGGGGAGCAATTGCACAGCGGCTCACGGGATCTGTATGATCCCGCCGCCGCATGCCTATTTTGGTGTGGCTTTTCAAAGCCGCACTTTGCCCGTTCTTTTTGTCCCTCATGTGGCAGGGACCAATATAGATCAGGAGGTTCATTTGCAAGGTGCTCCAGTTAATTTACATTTCTCTCTTAATCCACTCCACCTTTATCTCAAGGGCTGTTGAATTAAAGACATAATTATCTGAACTTGAAAAGTATTAGAAGCCCAAAAACACCCCCATACACTTCCCATATATTTTGCTTACCATCAAGCCTGAAGAAGAGCTTTAGTGAACTTGAAAGCTTGCTTTCTACTTTGTGATGTGTTCATTGGTCTTGGACATTCTGCTTCCTTTGTGTTAGTGAAGCAGCATAACATTAAGAGTTGTCCATTTAAATCCCAGATGTTAACTTCGTGGTTCAGTGATGTTTTGCCTGTCATCTTGGGGTTTTCAAAACACTTCATTACATGCCAATGAGGCTTTTTTTAAAAAATTGAACACTATCAATAGCAGATGGGTTTTTTTGTTTAAAAACTGTGAAGAACTAGAAAAGATTTACAATTTCAGTAAACCATGGTTTGCTATGCAAGTTATGGATGTACAAACCTCTTTGGCATTTTAATTGCTCACCCCTGTTTAAATAACTTCCTACTTTATTAAATAGTTCTCAGCACCTTTAAATATGGCAATATTCTTCTGCTACTTAAACATGCAAGAGATTATTAGTTATGAGAGTATTGGAAAATGTTCTAAAACAAATGGACTTTAGCTTACAGACATCAGAGATGAAACAATATTGTTCAAGCTGGTTTTGTGTTCCTGAAACAGGGCTAGGCATAGCACGTTATTTGGGCACACATTTATCCTTGAGAAATCATTGTGGTAATATTGAAGTCCATAAAGTATTGCTATACTTAACCATTCTGCTATTTTACCCCAGTCTGAATATAGAAGAACTCTTGTGACAAATAAGTTGCTTATAAATATATAAACATCATTTATTTTAAAGATTTATGTTCCCCCTTGCCCTCATTAAGACAGCTTACGTGTGAATATCAAAATAATGCAAGAACATAATATCAAAACAGGTTTTAAAACAGGACTACGTTCCAAAGAAAACCACAAATGGACAAAATGCAAAACAGGCAACAACTAAAAATAATAAAGCACCTCTGTATTATATCCCATTAAAAACTTGAGAAAACAAAGATTTATATTGGTACCTCAAAGCTAGTAGAGATTAATGAGCCTTCCTTATGGCACAACCATAGAAAAGACCATGCAGGACCTCAACTGATGACCTCACCTAATGGGCAAGTTCATAAAGAATGCTGCTAATATTCTAATAAAGCACTAAATGGTATGTCAGTAGGATAACACCATCACCTGGAAACAAAATAGAAGCTTTTGGCACTGCCATTGGCAATTATATTCAGTAAGGCAGGTTCCATTTAACTACCAGGTTACTGTATTGTGAACTAGGTGTAGATTCTGAGTGCTTTTCAGAAGCAGCCCCATACACAATGCCTAATCTAATTTGGCAGTCACTAAAACATGAATACTAGGGAAATCCCCCCCCCCACAAGCCTATAATGAAAGATGTTTCAAGCCATAGATACCCACTGAGCACTAACAAGAAGAGCTGGATCTAATAAGCACCCACAAGCTACAAACCTGACATACCAAGGCTCTTCAGCACATGTCCCAACTGCTTTAGGGATGTACATTTGTCATTCACACCTCATGTGATTACCAAAGCTATGCAACATAGCCATAACATAGTTATACCCAGGGGTCGTTTCGTAGAAAAAGAGCTAGGGGAACTCATTAGCATAACTCATTAGCATATGCCACACCCCCTGACATCAACGGAAGTGTGTCATGAGGCCACACACCCCGCCCCCAACGGTCCCGGCCGCCACCGCCGGCCTT